GGGTCAGTGGCCTCTGACTATCCTTCACTCCTTAACTACCCTAACCCAATACCCCCAATAAGCAGGACTTAAATGAAATATAAATAATGTTGCTCTGAAGACCCACCATAATACAATTTCAAACTCCAGAAAATAGGGACTCTTATCAAGCACTTGACCAATTGCCACATTACTATTTTGTAAAAGTAAAATACTAAAAAACAAAGATTGCTGTGTTCCCGTAAGGAGGTGACTGAGTTTTTATTGATCCCTAGGCTCCAATCACTGCCTGAGTGTCCCATCTGCCCCATGCAGTGGGTACCTTTACAGTGCTGAGGTCCATGGGGTGTTTAATGATGTCATGGTAATCATGCAGGCCCAGAGCAGAAGCATCCACTGGTTTATAGAAAGGCCAGGCATAGGCAGCATGCTTCTTAGAGAGTAACTCCTTCAAAATTCCATTGCAATGTTTCAACTGTTCTGATAGCTTTCCTTTCTTGGAGCTCTGGTGTTGTTGCTGAGAGTCAGGTAAGTCTTTGCGTGGGGGCTTGATGGGGCGGCCACTCTCTCTGCGCATAGGGGGAAGCCGTGCTGCCTTCGGCTCAAGACCCCCGGGGGGGCTAGCTGGGGAACCAGGAGCCAGGATGGCTGTAGGTGTTGGGGTAGTAGTATCTGCTTTCCGCTTTACCCCCTTTTTCTGCAAAGAAAAACAAGACGGAAACCTTTTACCTCAGGTCCACCTCAATCAAGCTTTCCCCCCCGATTGTCCAAAAGAAATCCATGGATCTATACCTTGGCAAGGGGCTGGGCTGGGGGAGCTGCAGAGACAGCAAGGAGCGGGGGTCCGGCAGTGCAAGGACTTGAGAAGGGGAGAAGAGATGACCGATGAGTGGGGAATGTTGAGGACAGTGGTAGGTATCTCGGGAGGTGGAGTATACAAGGCTGTGTGAGATACAGAAGAGATAGCAGGCACCTGGTGGGCACTGGTGATACTGCCCTGGAGTGCTAAAAGAGAAAAAAAGGTTAGTGTGGTCATCTTTCCCACCGTTTGGTCTCCCATTAGCAAAACTGCCACTCTTCCTACCTGCCAACTTGGCCCCCTTCTTGTGGCTGTTCTTAGGGATGGTCACCACAAGCTCTTGTTCCTCTTGTGGCATTGAGGCCACTTTCTGTAGGAAGATCTTTTCCAGCGTTTGTGCCATCAGGACAATATCATCAGTGGGCTACAGAAAACAAACAAAAAGGTTCAAATATCAGCAAAATATAGATTACTTTCCTCAAAGGAATTCCTAGCTCCAGGCATCATCACCACTCCTTTGATATAAGTTTGTCACGGAGTACTAAAAATTACCTACACGGGGCCACTAATTCCCACTTTCTCTCCCAAACCTTGTCCCTAAAAACGCAACCAAGAAAAAAAATTCAGAAATAAGGAAAGTAGATCCTGCTCTTTTCAGATCTCTAGGAATTCCTAACAAACAGGGCCACCACCCAAGTATGAAGAGTGTTCTACTTAAACCTTTTAACTCTGGATTTCTGAAGCCACATCACTGGGTGATGGTACCCTTTGGAGCTCAGGTTTTCTAGATCCTGACTACTGAGAACACCTACTATAGTAAAAGAATTGTGTAGACCAGGGGTGGGCAAACTTTTTGACTCAAGGGCCACAATGGGTTCTTAAACTGGACCGGAGGGCCGGAACAAAAGCATGGATGGAGTGTTTGTGTGAACTAATATAAATTCAAAGTAAACATCATTACATAAAAGGGTACGGTCTTTTTTTTTTTTTTTTAGTTTTATTTATTTCAAACTGGCCGGATCTGGCCCGCGGGCCATAGTTTGCCCACGGCTGGTGTAGACAAAACTCCAGCAATGAAAACACCGTCTGTCCCCGTCTATTAATGAACACACAGAGAAAAACTCACTTTGTTGTAGATGTAACAGTTGGTGAACATGGTATTAAAATCCTGCATACACTCTGAAGCAGCCCAATAATAGTTGTTTTCAAGTCTCCTCTTAATAGTACCCATGTCCATCGGCTGCTTTATAATTTTGTGGTAATCCTAGAAAAACACAAAACAAAAAAAAGGTCAGAGCCACCAAAAAATGCATACCTGTTCTCCTAAGCAAATTACTGATCCCCCAACACACACACATACACACACGCCCTGTGTTGAAGGCGTACAGTTCCCTAAACTGCGGCCCCAATTAAACTACAGGACAGAAAAAAATGGAATAGGATTCTTAACACCCATCAGGAGGCCCCTACTGTCTTTCTCTAACCACCCACACCTCCCACCCACTGTGCAAGGTTTCCCATCCTGTGACATTACCTCTGGGGCTGGCTATCCATGGGCTGCATGAGGGAGAGGAAGAAGCTAAGAATTTTGGCCACCGTGGTCCTCTCCCAACCAGGGGTGGGAATCTGTAAAATGGAGCCAGGGCACAAAAGTTAAGGAAGGACACACGGAGGGCACAAAGAGAAATGCCAAGATAGCAAACTGTTGGATCAATGGCAAAGGACCAAAAATTCAGAAATCTGGTGGCTATATGCTCAATGTGGGGGAGATGGGAATCCCTAGGGGCCGCAGCAACTATACTAGACAGCCCACCCCCACTCATACACATTCTTGTTCATTCCCACACCTCCCCACTTCAACTTCTCAACTCACCGGCAGACCCAGTTTGACAGCATCCACAGGCTGCCGGAAGGGCCATGCAAACTGATGTTTCCACAGAGCCTTCATCACCACCTTGTGCAGGTACTGCAGCTGGTTGGTAACCCGTCCTGGCTTTTTGGGATTGGATACCTCCGGGGGTGGTGGGTTGGCAGGGGTCAGTTGTAAAGCTGGCACTGAAGCCATTGTGGGGCTTTCGAATCCCTCATACAACAGGGAGGGCTTTCGAATCCTTTTCCCAGGCGCTGCAGCTTCTGGGCCCAGCCCCAGTAACCCTGCATTCCCCTCCCCAGGGAGCCTGTGAAAATGGGAAACAAGATTAGATGTGGCAAGCTATAGAAACTAGGGAAGAGTGTAATTTACACTACACACCCAATAAATCCACACTTGGGGCCTAGTGAGAGGTAGGCAAACTTTACAACCAGTACTCAAACATCCGAGATTTTGTTCTTGTCCCCCATTCCCATGTTTTTGTTTCCTTATTTCTACCACACCTATTTAGATCCCACCTTCTGGAGTCTGATAGGCTTTAGCATGTTTTTCTAAAATTACTTAGGAAAAAAAAAAAGCCCCCAAATGGTTTCTTGCAGGACATAACTGAGAACCACAGGCTAATGGGGAAGAGACTTAAGTGAAATGGGTGGAGCGTCGAAACTCAAGCTCCAAGCCTGAGGACCTCATCCACTAGGCCCTAGTGACTAGGGGCTTGATGGTTGCCATGGTGGTCGAGCCTGGGGGAAGCAGGTGGAAAGAGGAAGGGAACAAAAAAGGGAGAATTTCATAAAATGCTGATCAGACAGCTAAGAATCCACGAGGGCAGAAGAGATCAGCATCCTCCACATGCTCTGCATAGTTAACTTCAAAGAGAAAATAGACCCCGGAAATCTAACGGAAAACCATACCAAGTAAAAAAAAAAAAAAAAAAATCAGACAAGGAGCGTATTTGTCGGGCTTCACAGCCTATAATAATCCAGCTGCCAGCCCCCAGAATTTTTGGCAAATCCAATCTCCTCGTTCCAAGGGCCTCAAAAAATAGAGCTGCCCAGTCAAGGTCACAAGAGGGATAGACCCTCGCCCCCACCTTGCCAAAAAACAAGATTCCAACAACAGTTCCCACTGGAGCATCAACTCTGGAGATTCAAGGCCAACAGTGGTTCAGGTTTACATTCTCCTTGGTGCCCCTCTGGACCAGGTGTTTCCAGGGCCTACCATTAAGATCACTACCCTGAGATCTTATTGACACCCAAAGACAGCTGGACCGGAATCCTTAGTGCCACCTCCCACCTTGAATGAAACTCAAGGATATCAAAACCGTCCCCACCACCGAACAAAACACTCATCCACCCCAACACAAAACCGACCCAGTTACTGTAAGACAAGCAGGGGTTTAATGATCCAGCCCAGATACCAAGAACCCACAGGCTAACAATAATCCCTGTCCCTACTCTGGGAATTCCCGTAGCCAGTCCCCGAAGCTGTCACCATGGCAACCTTATAAGGCACTAGTTGTGGCCGCGAACACCTCAAAAGGACTATGACAAACCGTCGCTAAACACAAGGCCCACTACCCGCAGCCCAATCAATGTGGTCCTTCCCCATTACATTCCGCCGCCAACCTAGCTGGGACCGACTCGGTTAAGACTGGGCCACCGCCGGGGAAGTAGCGGAGACATTGACAACCTGTACTCCCTCCATACGCAGCGGCCGGGACACGACCACGGTTCCAAAACCGTCGCTCAAGCCCCTCCGCGAGCCCCCGAGTCAACAGTCGCGCCACGGAAGAGCAGCGCGCCCGTCAGTTCTGTATTCCCTCCGAACCCGACCCCTCACCCCCGTGCCGCAGCCCCCAACGTCCCCGTCCCGCTCGCGACGACGTACTTGTGGGGAGTTACGTTTTGCAGCATCTTGACCGCGGGGAACCGGCGCTGCACTCAGCCGCGGCAAGTCCGGGTGGCCTCGGTTCCCCTCGCCGCCCGGTCCAGCATAACCCGGGAAGTAGGGGGGGCCGCTGCCCTTGCCTTCCAGGCGACAACCCCCCCCCCGACCGGGCAGGAAAGAAAGTCTCCTCCGCTGTTTCACCGAAAGCTCCCGGCAGCTTGGCGCGCTCCGCAGGAGGCGGACAGCGAGAAAATGGCGGCGGCCTCAGCAGAGGCGGGCGAGCGAGGGGACTCTTCCAACCCTAGGAAGGCCCCCGATCCCAGACAACGTCGTCAATATTGCCCGCTGTTGATCTGCAAGAATCCCCTCTTCCTGCGGGGACCGTCCGGGGCGGACGAAGTCCCGTTTCAATCTCGATGGAGGCGGATGAACACGAAAAGTGGTTTAAGGAGCCGCCGCCTCCATCTTTGAAATCCTCTTGAGGGCGGAGTAGAGGGGGTGGACAGATTCCGAGGATTGGGCGGGGCCCGAAAAAGGGGAGCTTCGGGGGCTTCTATGGGGTCTGTACTGTCCGCCGGGAACGGTCATAGGCCGAGACGAAGGCCATTTCCAAGCGGATGGACGTGGATTGCAATGGCGGGCCCCGACGACTCGAAAGCTCTGTATCGGTAGGCAGAATCCTCCAGCCCGTTCTAGAGGTTGCTCCACTCCAGCGCGAAATGGCGCCGCCGAGCCCCGCGCCAGCCCTTTATATATAGGCGGAGGGGCGGAGCTTCGCCGCTCATGCGCGCCACCGCGCTTGAGACTTCCCCCACCCCCGGCGCGCGCGCACGCCCGGGAAGAAGTCCAGGCGAAGGGGAAGGAACGCCTCTCCGCGGGAGCATCTTCTATTGGTCCGCTGGAGAGATTACGTCATAAACTTGATTCCCAGAGCGTCGGTCACCAGGCAGAAGAGTGCCGCAGAGCCCCTCAGGGAAGCGGCGGCCGCCATGTCGCTGAGCCAATTGGCTGCGCCGAGAGTCGGCGACTCCAGGGGAAGGACGTCGGCGGGGGGCAGCACCCTCTCCCCACCTCCCTTTCCGACAGTCTTCCCAGGCCTCCGGGCCCCGGGCGACCGGCGACCGCCAAGCTGGGGCAGGTCGGGCCATTCGTAGCTCCTCCACAGGCCAGACCCGCAGGACCGGTGGGGCCGCGTGGGCGTCGCCAGCCTCGCCGGCAGGGTGTGGCCGCAGGACGCCGCCGGGGGATGGTTCTCCACTGGGAGGCCGCGCAGCGAGGAATCTGAAATGAGGAAGAAGACGCCATCTTAAAGCCACGGCCTGGTACTCGGGCAAACAGCTAAGGGCCCCCAACGCAGCGGAGACGGGACCCAGCGTCTCTATGTCCCACCACGAAAAACACAGGCTTGCCCGAGTCTTAAAATAGCCCCTGCCCTGCCCCGCCCCAGGTCAGACAACAGAAAGACAAAGGCAAAAAGCTCCCCAAAACTTGTATCAACAAGGTAAAACCTACAATTCGTTCCAAAAGCTTGCACCCCGAGCACATCTCCGACCGCGGCCCACTCACACTATGAATACAAATACCTGCGGGCTCGACCCGATCGCAGGAGCCCCAAGTGGGGCCAAAACCTGGAAACACACCTACAGACGAAACCCACCTCCTCCCAACCTCATTCCGACGTCTGCTCAGCGGAAAAAGCAAGTCCCGCGAGGGGCGAGTCTCGGGGAGCACCCTCCCCGGCCAGCGCTCGGACTGCCCCCCGGGCCGAGGGCGAGCCCGCACCCCCTGAGGGTCCCTCCGCCCCGCGGCCGGAAGGGCCCCCCATCCCCCACCGGGGTCCGCAGTCCTCCCCACGGAGCGGCGGGTCCTTCGGTCAGCGCCAGGGAGGAGGGCGAGCGGAGGAGGCGGCCGCAGCGGCTCACTAGCCCTCCCCCTCCTCCTCTCCCCTCCCCCCGGGCCGTCCGCCTCCGAGGAGGGGCAGGAGCCATTTTGGGAGCTCGGTTTCGCCCCCTCCCCCCGGCCCACGCAGCTAAGTCTTCCCACAATCTGCGGTCTGAACAGGGCTGGGCTAGAATGGACTGAACCGGAGCACAGCAAGGTCAGACCTCTGAAGCCGTGATCTCCGGGCTCCCAGGCCCCTCCGTTCCCCTTTTCTGGGCACCAAAGAGAACAGGCTGCACATCCGAAAGGAAATGAGTGCAAATCCACGAGGACATGGGCCCCCTCCCCTCGGCAGGGCTCCCGAGGGCCCCGATCCCCGAGTGCCAACGCCGCCGCCCGCCCGCCCTCTGCAGCAGCTCTCGAGCCTTGACCTCGTCACTGCGTCTAAAATGGCCGTCAGCCTCCCGTCTTCACGGCCCCCCAGGCGGGCAGACCCTGCGGGGCAAGTGCGCCCCGGGAAGGACGGTGTGCCGGCCCCCCTCCCTCCAGGGACCAGGCCTCGGCCCCCAAGTACACGGGGCCGCCCGGCGGCGGCAGCGGGAGGGCAGTGACACAGCAACTTTGCAGAACCGCCTCCCCTCCCCCCGGGCCGGCCTCCCAGCCGCTCCCTCCCCCCGGGCCGCGCCAGTCTGCACAGAGGCCGCCAGGAAGGGGCGGTTGGGAGGGGAGAACGCGG